TACCAACTCACTTGTCAATGGTTTTCAATTTTTAAATGAGTTTTAATCTCTAAATATGATCTTGAAAACAATATTTCACTCTGGGATAAGTTCAAGATAAAGATTCTTTCAACTTACCCATTATTGCTAGCAAGTTGCTATTACCTATTATTCTCTGAGAAACCAATTTTGAAAACTATAATAAGAAAAAGGGAAAATAAAAGAAAGGGTATATCTAAAAGTGCACAATTGTATATATATAAAGAAAAAAAAATAAAATAAAATAAAACTACTCCATGTCCTTCAAAAGATCTCTACTAAAGACCTCCTCTCATTAGAAGTCAACTCTTCTGGGATATTCTTCTTCTTTCTAATTATATGAAGAACTTATCCATTCATGATCTTAATTATTTTCTTGTGACTATCTGAAGTACTTATTGCCTACTCAGATTCAGCTTCTTGCTTATTGCTTCCTTTCTTTTGATATTGATTTTTTATCTACTTATGCAGACCTTAATAGCTTATAATGGATCCCAAGTTTTTATATAACCTTTCAGTTATATTATATAACTACTAATATCTTCCAATAGTCACACCTAGTTAAAGGAATTTTACTGATATATATCTTCCATTGTCCAAAAAGTTATTTCCCAAGAATTTTTTTACCTTACAAAGGGGAAAGGGTTTTAGAAGAGTGGAAGGGATCCTTATCAATTAAAGGGCAGTGGCTCATAGTCTTCTGTTTTTTAGTCTTATTATCTAATCAGAATAAGGAAATAACCTTTTTCATATACTGTACTTGGCCTGATTGGGATTATAAGAAGTTGAAGATCTCAACTTGAACAAATAAACATCTTTTCACTATCTAGGAAATTTAATATTCATCCTAATAGTCTTATAGTCTTTTTGCTTTGGTTACACTTCATTTGGTGAAGTGAAGGATTTTATGTCAATTGATTCTCTTTTGTTTTACCAATAATATCATCAAAATACATGAATATAATCAATAAAACCTTGTTTACATCTTGCTACCAACATGTTTCATATCAGCCAATCAAAAGCCAGATAATATTTGCTACTAAAAATTCAGGATCAAGCTGAGATAGATAAAATTTTTCAAAAAAATCATGAAAAAACTATGAATACTCTAAAAGAGCAAGAAATAGTATATGAGAAGATGGATAATAAGTCTTTTTCTATTCAGAAAATTTTTATCTTCATATCATGTTTAACTTTGAAAGGTGACACTTTACAAGTTGATCCTTTTACTTCCTAGAATCTTCTTGTCTTTAGTAAAGGAAGTATGTACTTAAGTCTATTTAGGTCACCAGAAGCTCAAGTTTTTATTCAAAGAAATTTGTAAATAAGTAGAAAAGAGTAGTAATAACTCTTAAAGATAAGCTTTAAGTTGTTTTAAGGAAAATAGAAAGACTTTATTAGTCAAGAAGAATAAAATCTTCTTGTAAATATCTTTTTTATGTGTGGTTAAAGGATCAATAGAAAGAGTTTTATATAAAATCTTAGTTTAGTGATAACATTATATCAATTATCTTATATAAACTATATATTTTATATATATACAAATTAATAATAATCTAATATAATATGTTTTAGATCAATTTATTACTTTTTTATAAGAAGATAAGCTATTCTAAAAATCAATTGATTAATATATAATTATTAATAGAAGAATTAATATAGTTAATTTAAAACTTTATATTAGTTTTAATTCTTAATACTATATTATATATGTTAACTTATAAATTAGAAATTAAATTTTCAAAAACTTAATTAATTATTCAAATATTTTAATATTTTTATTTAAATCCCAAAAAGAATTTTTATATTTATTATTACTATATATAATATATTAGATAAGTTCTATTTAATCAATTAATTATTTAAAATATATCAAATTATAATATTTCAAATTAAAGTAATTAAATTTTAGAGTTTATTAATATAGTTTAAAATAAAAAGTATTTGAATTTTATTACAATTTTAAAAATAAAGTTTTGAAATTTATTAATATAGTTTTTATTAGAATTTATTAAATAAAATTACAATATATATAATTAGATTAGAACTTTTTTTTATATAATTTTTATAAACAATTGTTTCAATTTATAATTAATAAAAAATCAAAAGTCTTATTTTTTTGTAACTTAAATTTATAAATGATTTTTTGATAAATTTGAACTAAGAATTTTTATTTAAAAACTTAAAGTTTTATTATTTGAATTATTAATTCATAAATCTTTTTTTAAAAATTTTTAAAAAATTTTATTTATTTTTATTTAATTTTAAATTTAAATAATATAAATTATTTAAATAATAATTGAATATTATAAAATATAATTATTAAAAAAAAATTTTTTTTATTAGGTATAATAAAGCTCAGTTTTATATATTGATGTTACATATGTATAGGGAATTCTAGCTATATACATCTTTGAAAATATTTATACAGATATGATATTTTTATAATATATTCAATGCAAACCTATTTTCAGGTATAACTTGTTAATATAGCTTATTGCCCTACTACTCAATTACCTACATCTATATTATTCTTTCTTGATTCTTACATATAATACTCTACAAATCCTGGGACTATAATATAGAATCCATTTTATATCTCATCCTATTGGATTTTTTTTTATAGTACTTATTATAATATACTTATAAAATACTCATGTGAAGTCTTAGATATCATCTCGTTCTATCAATGATTCTTTTTACATGATCTATTATAGCTTACCTATAGAATGACCATATGAAATCTTGAATGGATATTGATTTTGATAAAAACCTTCTTCTTATTAATATACCTAAGCTCTACTAATCTCCTCTTTTTATAGTATGCAGATCTTCAGCCTATCTATAGGAGCTTGTTGAAACCTGTCTTGTAACAAGATGACTTTAGCACTAAAACTAACTGAAGTATCTTGTAATTTTTGATTATTCATGATTAGAAGGGATTTTGGTTATAGGTGACAATAATTATCATCATAAAATAAATAGAATCTTTCTATATCACCTAGACTTAAGTAATACTATTTCACAGTAGTATTGAACTCAGAAACAGTATTTGATAACCTGGGAGTGCTATCACTGCACTATTGATCCACAGGTTTTAATTATTAAAAAATATAAATAAGTTTCTATTAATTATGTTTAAATATTTTTATAAATTTTATATAATTATAGTAAAAATTACAAGATATTTTATTTTATAATAATAAAATATAAATATTAATTTTATCAATTAAAAATTAATTCAAATTAATAAAAGAGTGAAATATTATTTCCTAGATTATATCTAAAAATTTATTTTTTAATAATAGGCAAATTAATATATAAAGGTTATATTTAGTTCTGATCATACACAAAAAAGATATTCACAAGAAAGTTTTATATCTCTATATTAATAAAGTCTTAATACTTTTTTTAAATTAATCTAAAGATTACCTTCTGGAGTTGCCTATATCTCTTCTCTCTTATCTATAATTTTTTTCAAATAAAAACTTGACTACCAATGACCTGAAAATTATATAAATATCTTTCTTATCAATGGCAAGAAAGTTCTGAAAGGAAGAAAAACCGATGTCTTACTATTTTTACATTTATAGAGAAATACTATAAAACTATTGCTATAATAAGAGGACTAATGTCCACTCTCTTTATTACTTATATAGATTTTTATAATACTTTTTCTCAGTCTTTTCTGGAAAATTTTGCTTATTTCAGTTTGACCTTGAATTTTAAGTAATACATAATTTGATTGACTCAATAGAATTACATCAGTAAAAGAATGTAAATAAGCTTCTATTGGTTACTTCACATTTCTGAATAAAATATACAATTTATGATGTTAATAACTATATAAAAAGAATAAGATTAGAGTAAATTATTTCTTTTCTAGTAAATACAATTATCACATATAGGGCCAATTTCTTTTAAAGGGTTTTAATACTTCTAACTATCCATTAAAATCAATTTTAAAATAGATAATCAATATTATTTTTCTAAACAAGACTTGATTTAAACATAACTACTTTATTAAAATTTTTAGTTAAACACTAGTGAAGTTAAGGCTTCATATATATAGTTTTTAACATTAATGGTACTGGATATCCTAGGTGAATCCTGGATATATTAGCTCTCTTTTTTTGGAATAGCAATAAACTACTCAGTGGATTGGCCAAAATCGTATTTTAGAAAGTTTTGAAGTATAGAATAGAAAATTAACATAGTGTGAACTTCATATCTCTTTTTTTTTTTGTGATATGTTTTTATAAAATGATTATCTACACTAAATAGTCATATAATTATCTTATTCTGACTGGATAAAATGTAAATAAGTAACTTTTTGTACTATTTGTTGATCTGTAAATCCTTAGACAGTATGGGTAGTTATTTATTCTGATTGTTCCTAAATCTTCTGCTTACTTAAATAAATCTTATTTACCTTGACATAGAATGAGCTAGCATTTAAAAAAAAAAAATGAAGGTTATATTTATTTATAAATATTTAGAATATATATAAAATAAAAATAAGTTATATTAACTTAATTGTAAATAAAAATGAAAAAAAAATTTTATAGTAAAATTATTTTTCTTTTATTAAAATTTTTATATAAAAATAGATATATATATTTTTTTTTATTAAAATTATTTTTTAATTTTATTAATTGAAAAAGATTGATAATAAAAATAAATATATAAAATAGATCTCGCATAATTTATTTATATTTATATTTGAATATAATATGAGTTAAAATACTATATAATTTACTGAAAAAGTAAGTATTTTGCTTAAATATAAATACGTATAATAAACTAATTTGATCATCATACTTACGTATTTCTTTTTTAAAAAATCATATAGTTTAATTTTTTTAAACTTTTATAATATATAATTTAATAAAAGTTTAAAAATAAATAAAATAAAATAAAATAAAATAAATAAAACAAAAATATATAACAGATAACAATTTACTGTATTCGTAAACCAATTTTCACGGTATACTAAATAGTTATATGTTTAATAGTCAAAAATTTTTTGTTAAATTAATTCAAATTAATCCCGTTAATACAATATAGTGTTACCAAAAAAAACTTGTCAAGTTGAATTTATAATTTGAAAGAGAAAAATAAATAAATAATTGATAAAAAAAAAAAAAAGGCTCACATCATAAAGAACTGTCGATATACCGTACATATATTGCATGTAAAAAAAAGTAGTTATTAAAAAGAAACCAATTAAAAAAAAAGAAGTAAGATGCGACATACAGTATAAGATGGTGAGTAAAAAAAAAAAAAAATACGATATATAAATTCAATCAAATAAAATATAAAGCATCCCTTTTATAGTAGACCCGCCTTCTATTTTTTTTTTTTTTTCTGGTTCAAAGTAACAGAGCCGGGATGGTTTATGCGGCAATTTACAAAAAGAAAAATTGAAAGAAAGAAAAAAAGAATATTATAATTAAATAATATTAGCCGAGTTTGTCAAATTATCGATAAATTGTTGTATAATTCAATACTGTAATTCAACATAATTTGGACTAGTGTTAAGCTAGTAACTTCATAGCGCGAAATATCATCATGCTTCCTGGTACCACAAATGGGATCTCAACTTCGTTATTTCGTTCAACACCAATTTCGTCCATAACTCTATATTCCAAGATACCGTTTTCTATAAAGGCATCGACCGTGGAATGACCGAATTCTTTGCACATGCTATGATACCCAACACAATGTGAAGGTGCCGAAAGTATGCGCTGAGACATTAGTTTTATAGGAATTTTCGAGAAATTGACGAGTTGATTTTTGATTCTAACAAATGGTTCGAATTTTTCAACTTGGAAAAAAAAGTTAAAGGAAGTTATTTTGGAAAAGTTCGTCTCAAATGAAATAAACAGCACAGTAAGTTAAATCAACAGCTACTTGTTAGTTTCCCACCGGAGACCTTGTAGTCTTGTGTGAAATTCTGCCAATCCACAATTCTACCACCGAATGTTTCATATAGGACATCTTCCATTTTTGCAAGATTTTCATAAATTTCCTTAGGCACCGACGATAATAGGTTTTTTCGGAATGCGTGGGAAATTTCAGAACGAGTCAAATCTCCGATTGTCAGTGTTTTTACATGGGACACTGTGGGAGGAGAAGATTGAAATGATGATTCGTCGAAGCAACAATGGACGCTCGAAATCGGTTTCATAAAAACTTACAAACATTTTCTTATCGATTTTGATAGATTTACTTTTTAGCACCAGGTAGGAATAACAAGAAGACATCAATTTACGGGAGTTCCCTTCCTACCTTGTTCCAAAAGTCTCTCGTATAATCCATTGGAGGTGGAGTGTATTATCTGACACAATTTGTTTTTTGTCGTGAGAACTGTCATCGCGTCGAATAGTATCTGCAAGGCTTCACCATCGTGAATCAAAATTTTCAGTTTATGAGCATCATCGATGAATATCACTGGAATTTGCCTGCGTTTTTCTCTCAAATGACCTTTTACCAATTCAATGATGAAAACCGTCACCAACTTACCTAATCAAATTAAATAGTCGCAAGTAAAAGAGACCATTACCTTTTTCGTTTCTAGCTGCCTCGTCGTGAACCTGATGGTACAAAAACAAACCCTCCTGGAATTTTTCTAACAATTTCGCCAAATCACTTCTATTCGTACTCGTCGCTGCAAACTTGACATCATTATTTGGAGTGGAATTTTGTGCTTGTTGCAGTGAATTTTTCTTCTCGAAACTTTCAGGTCCTTCGAGTCGAAAACGTTTTATTCCAATCGCCTGATCTTCAATGACTCTGTAGCGATCTCTGGCTTGCGGTGGCTGGTAATTGGACACTTGTAGGAAGAAGGTTTCCATGCGAGAAGCAAGTTCTGCTGTGAAGGAACGTAAATCGGCGAAACCTACATAAGGGGGAAAGAGTAAGTGAGTTGATTGACCGTTCTTTTAAACCGAATCCCGCCAAACATAACCATTGTAATATGTACCCGGAATACGCAGGTCAAATTGAATGACATGGTACTTGTCATCCGTGAGGATTTCACGTAATAAAGCAGTCTTTCCGGTGCTATCAAGTCATATAAATATTGCATATTTCAATAATATTTCGGTAGCATGTAACGCAAATTTTATCACCTCCTGGCCCCACTAACAACGATCCATCTGGGATCTCCGTGCAAAATTTCCTCAATAATTTGTTTCTCCCTTTTGCGTCCGAAAAAATTCGACATTCTCTTGAACGTGCGAGTTTGTGGAGATTTAAATTTTTCGTAAACTTCTAGAGCCTGAATTTCCAAATCTTGAGCGGCCTTCCGTGGCTTTTCGGAGCCATTGATTAATGACAGGGGATTTGTTATCGCTTTTAAAATTGAGAAGGTTTTTCGGGAAACGGGCAAAGGAAATTTATTAGAATGCGGGCGAAAAGGATTGGTGTGGAGAAGGGAACGAGATGAATGTTGTGCAATCGAGGTGAAATTAAAAAGCATCTTGCTTGGAGTGAAGCGTGGCAGTTTAACTTTATGCAATGCAACGAATCTGTTCAAATTTTAAATGAAATCTCGTGCCGACGATTACGTATAGTGTGCAAATGAAAGATGAGATCACAGAATGAATTTTATTTCGCATGATTTATCAGTGATGGCAAACAGAGTGAAGAGAATTGACAGAGAAAGGAATATTTCCCCGGTGCAAAGAGTAAATGTCGATATTTCAATTTTTTTTAGACCACGTTGGATGTTATTATGTACTGTAAATCACAGCTTTCTGTTTCTACAATGCGAAAAATTGACAAATATCGAGATCACGGATGGTTGAAATGATGGTTGAAATTTCATCACCCGGCGTGAGCCAAGCAACTCCCTGAAACTATTTCATCGTGAGAAAACTTATTGACTATGCAAATTTCCACCGTTAATATATGAACCGGTGTCAATATCTGAACAATCGTCTCCTTAGTTATATTCCAACTCAGATCCGGAAAGAATTTCTTCAGGTGTTCACCGATGTCATCTCCAAATTCCTCCAGCAGAATGTATCCCATCGTCAATCCTCTGATGTTCTGATTGTCCAAGAGAAATTCGTTGCCATTATACAAGGCGACATAGTAATCAACCTCGCTTCGATTACTCTTGAATTTCAGAAAAATTTGGATTTCCAGGTGACGTTTCAACAGAAATTGTTGTCGAGACTCTTTTTCGATCAGCTCAATTATGTGTTTCACGGTTTTAACAAATTGATTTATCTGTTCGGAAATTGACTTTGAGCCGTAGGAGAGTTTGGATTTGGAATTTTTGGGCGGTGATGAGGGAGAGGGGAAGGGAATCTGAAAGAAGTTCAACTCTTGTTCTAATTCCTGACGGGTAATCGAAACCCTCCCTGTGACAACAATATAATCACGGCGACAAGAAATAAACTGATTACTTTCATTAGTTTTTTTTTTTTAGTTTTCTAGATTTTTATTACATATATATTAAAAAGAAAAGAAAAGAAGAAGAAGCTATTAAAAAAAAAAAAAGAGAAAAGAAAAAGAAACGCTAACCGGTATTTGGTTCTGGCCAGAACACTTTTCCTGTGCGATAAAATTGAAGTATATATCTGAAGCAATCACCGTCACGATCAATAAAATATTCGTTACTCCCGTTGATCGGATGAACCATCTCCTGATTTCTTTCTTGGAACATCGCGCCCAGGAATGTATCGGGATAGGCTGTGAGTGTGGATCGGTAAGTTTCATACTATGAAAAAAAAAATATAAGTTCTTGTCTGCAAAATTATTAAAATGGAATTTCCAAGTATAGACGTACTCACCTTCACACCACCAACATTTAATACAATAATTTCGCCCATCCTAGCTGAACTTGATTCGTCTCTAGTTTCCTTAGTTGGCGGATCGATTTCGGACATTCGAAGACAGGTTCAAACTAAAAAAGTTAAATTAAAATAATCACAGTTTGTGACTCGGTTTGCACGTTTACGCACTATTACGGTGTTTTTTTCGGGATAATCCAAAGGATTCTCGGGATGACCAGAAAAATTCCTTAGTTTCGTAGCGTATTATTAAAGAGAAACAATCGAAAGAGAACGAAAAAGAAAAGAGGGGAGCCAAGAGGCTTATGCAATTATTTATATAATTTTAATTGACAATCATTTATCATTTGACCGCATGTGCGTTATATGTGCTTCCGTACGTCGTTGTCATAGGGTCACGTGGAAAAGTTTTTTTTAATAATTATCCCCTGGTACGCAAACATTAGCGAATGGCGGGGGTAATATAGCCCGACTTGGTTACTATCGCCCTTGCTGCATGCTAAAAAAGCTTTGGGACCGCACATCATCACATCAATCTTAAATCACCTTCATTAATACCGTATTAAAAATTCCGCTTCCAGCACCCTCTTTTTACGCGAACTTCATTTTCGTTGCGCATCACGCATGGCGTAGTAGTCTGTGACCCGTTAAAGATTACAAGGCGCAGCAAAACACCGTGAACCGCAATTCCACGAACATTTTTCCATTTTTCGTCACGAGGATTTAGAAGACAAAAATGTGATCGGTTAAACCCAAACATTCGGATCCGATACACATGGTCGATGGCTGAATATAAATTGAAAAAAACATCCCGAGCACGCATGTGCATCCTTACACTTTTGCGCACCACCTTTTTTTTCGTTTTCTAACCAAAAATTCTTGTTATGTAAGCCCATTCTCTTTTTTTTATTTGAGTAACCATATAATTACAAAGAAACTATTTATTAATTCTCGTTTCTTTATTTACTAAATTGTACTGTTCATTCAAAAATCTTGTTATGACCATTTTCGTTCTTTTTCGGGGGCGCCAAAAAAGACGTTATCAATAATCGACCATTCTTTAAGTTTGCATCCGTCCCCTCTGCCATGAGTCGAAATCAAGAGCAAAGAAAAAAATTTTTTAAGAACAGGAAGGCCTTTAAATCCGAAGATTTATTTCAGAAACGACAAAAACGTCAAATTGAAATTCGTCGTCAAAGCCGTGAACAGATATTAGCGAGCCGTAGGAATTATCAGTCGGTGGTCAATGGCGAAGTGAATGCTTGCGCCTCCTCGATTCACCGCCAACTGTCAGAATTGGTTGATGGTATAAATTCTAGCAATGTGGACAAACAATTAATCGCTCTCACCAAAATAAAAAAGATCTTTACCAAAGAACCCATTCCACCAATCCAACAAGTTATCGATTGTGAAGTTGTCCCTCGACTGGTGCAATTCCTGACATCCAAAAACATAGGACTCCGACATGAAGCCGCGTGGGTGATTACAAACGTTGTGACCGGAAAATGCGACCAAGTGCAAGTTGTAATCAATGCCGGCGCATTGCCCATATTTATGGACCTCTTAAATAGTTCGGATAGAAAACTTCAGGATCATGCTCTTTGGGCATTAGGAAACGTTGCTGCCAATTTTCGTGAGCTCGTTCTGACCACGGGAGACCTTGGCAACTCTTTTATGCGCATTCTCAACGAAGTTACTGAACCTTGTTCAGTGTTACGAACAATGGCTTGGACGCTTTCATCAATTTGCCGAGGCGAAATATCCGATACCGAGTGGCCCTTTATTACACCAACCCTTCCTGCAATATCACAGCTCATCAATTATAAAGACGACGAGATACTTAATAATATTTGTTGGGCATTAAGTTTTCTCACCAATGGTAGCAGTGAACAGATAGACGCCGTGATCGATCTTGGAGTCTGCCCTAATCTTGTTAATCTGATGATGCACGCGCATCATGATGTTCAATCTGCTGCTTTACGATGCGTGAGGCATATTGTAGCGGGGAACGATCTTCAAACACAGGTGATTCTCGACTGCGGAGTCCTTACAGTGCTGAAAACCTTACTTACCAGCGATCAGGCTTCAATTCGAAGGGAAGCCTGTTTCATCCTCTCCAACATTACCGCGGGCAACATCGATCAGATCACCCATGTAATTCATGTTGGACTTATTCCCTTGGTCATCAACCTCTTGACAAATTCCGATTTTCAAACTCAGAAGGAAGCATGTTGGGTTATACATAATGCCATAAAGAAAAGTTGCACTCAACCGGAGTTAACCATCTGTATAATTAGACAAGGATGCATCCCACCGTTAATAAACATGTTAAATTATGTCGACAATGACATCATTTTTGTTGCCCTTCAGGCCATTTGGATCATCTTACAACTTGGGGAAAACCTTTCGGTGGAAAAGAATGGTGAAAATCCTTATGCGTTGATCATGGAAGAGTGTGGTGGAATGGAGCGCATAAATTATTTTCAATTTCACGAAAACAATGAGATTCAATTGATCTCATACCAAATTATCGATAAATTTTTTTCAGAGGATGAAGATGAATTGGCAGAAGAAAAAAGTAAGGTCAATGGGCATTCGGAGGGTTAAGATGGTTGGTGACGGCGGCAGGGAGATGAGAATGGATGGATCCAATTTTCATGAGTGATAGCGACGAAAGAGAGTGGATGGGCATCGCTTCGTTAGAATAATTTCCGTTTTCTTTGTTTTCTGGGATAACATTGATCGAATAAATTACGCAAGCGCAAAGATGTTCATTTGGAATTGACGATCAAATCACAAACCTTATTACATGTAGAAAGTATTTATTAATTCTCGGGATGATTTAAAAAAATGAACTCCACTGTTAAAAAAACTATATGCTGTATATTTATATACCGTATATATATACTGTATATATATATATATATTAGAAAATTTTCTTATTCCTTTATCAAAAAAAAAAAAAAAAAAATTATTTTATACACTTATTAAGATCAATGGGCTAAAAATCTGCATTCTACAAGAAAATAAAATCACTGAACATTGCCAATTCTATTTTATAATCATTCTCTGGTTCTCATTTTATCCTTCTTTTATTCACCGCAGTCAACTCGCCAATTTTATCAACAAAATGCAAAGAGTGTGCTTACATAATTGTATAATCATATCTTGTTGCTTAAATATAAATCACAATTATTATAATAAGCATTATTAAATCAAATGTATAATCATTATATACTGTAAATAAAGGTTTGATCTATTAATTATAATATTTATGCAAGTAAAAGTTGAGCTTTGAATAGATTGATTTTATATTAATATTACAATAAAATTTTAAAAAAATTTTAAAATTAACTTTATATAATAAAAAAACAATTTAATTGTAAAAAAAATTATTTATATTAAATAAGAAATTTATTAAATAATTTTTTATAAATTAAAATTTTCTTTATTATATAATTAATTTTTTGTAAAAATTTATCATAATAAAAATTATATTTTTTATTATTTTTTATAGATAAATTTTATATTGTATATAAAACTTTTCAACAAAACAGTACCTATTTTTTTTACTTTAAATATATAATTACAATAATCTTATAATAAAGATATTAAAGTTTTATAAATTCAATAATTATTTATTAAATTATAATAAAAAATATTGATTTCAAGACTTTTTGTATTAGATTGTATGTAAAAATATTATAATTTATTAAAAATAATTAATATAATTCTTGAATTGAATATTTAATAAAGTTTTTTTTTTTTTTTTTTTTTTTTTTTTATAGTTATACTGACTGGCACTAGTCAAAAAAAAATTATTTGGCATACTGCCACTCATATAACATTTGGCAAAAAATACCACTACTTGTGTAACAATCAGCAAAAAATAAACAATTCGGTAAAAAAAATGATATAAATAAATTGACAACTACAAAAATTGGTATATCAAAACTATTCATTAAAAATTTGTCAAAAATTTGTCAACTATTCATCCACTATTTGTCAACTATTCATTAATTATATTTGCAACTATTCGTCAAAAATTTGTTAACTACTCATTAACTATTCATTAACTATTTGTCAACTATTTGTCAACTATTTGTTAACTATTCGTTAACCATTTATTAACCATTCATCAACCATTCATCAACTATTCGTCAATCATTCACAACTATTCATCAACTATTCATTAAAAATTCATTAATAATTCATTAAATTATTTATTAAAGATTTATTAACTATTTATTTAAAATTCGGCAACTATCCATCAATAATAAAGTAAAAAAATTTGATAAACTTATGTGTGAAATTTTTTGAATTAAGGTTATATTTATAAATTATGAATAATACAAACTATAATACATAACATGTCATTTATATTATTATAATTTAATTTTTTTTTTTTTTTTTTTAACCCGCTGTCAGGCTAGTTATGTGCGCTTTATTAAACAAAAGTAAACTATA